ACAAAAGATGAGTTATCTCTAAGCACATCAATTACGGTGAATAAATGTGAGTACAAGCTTGTATGTGAACGATGGGTGAGCATGGATAGTTACAAATACACGCATGATCCCATTGATAGTCTATTTTTAGTATTGCTACTTATGCTGTTTTGGCTAAAAAAACCCAAAAAAAATCCCATATGCTAGTCCATGTAACATTGATGATAAAACAAGATTCAAATCTTAAAATAATGTCCCAACACAGATCTATATAAACAAACCATTCAGCCTTTCATTGATATTTTGAACCTTCCCATAATCTATTAGGTATAATATAAATTTGGTAACAATTATCAATGCTTAATTCATTTAAAATAGAAAATACACCTCAAAATCTGGTAATGATGATATCGATTTCAATAAATTGGGATCAGAAATTGTACGCTTCAATGCATGTTCAGCTGCAACATGGATTTCCCATAGTCTCATAGGACGGTCAAATGATAAAGATGAGCTCTCAGAGTTTGCTGGACCAGAATAGGTTCGTGACATAAGGCTTGCATGAACTTTACTGGATGGAGAGAACTGTAAATGCCCATCCAATCCTGGACTGGTAACATAAAAATGCAAAGAGCTTTAGAGTTGTGTAATATCAGCAACAAAAAAATACAATGGCAAGGTAAACGCAAAATCCACTGGCTGACTAATGTTTATGGTTTCAATACCCATCAGCAGAGCAGGAACCCAGCGACCATCAAATAATTCGACCGCATTACCCACAGAAAGAGAAGCTCTCCTTCTGTTAGCCTCCCTCAGCAGTAAAGACGGTTCCAGAGGCAATGGTTTTCTCTCTATGTTGAAGTGCTTCACTCTGGAACTTGATTGGTGAATCATCTGTTATGATCAACCCCAAAGAAAAAATGAAATAGCGAAGAAGTCCTCAGTGTATCAATGTTAACAGAAGATACAAAATGGAACCACAAGCAGTTACATGAAAAGGTAGTGTACACTTAAGAACAATGGATGGGTCATGAGAAATCAGTTCAAGCTTACGAAGTGCGAAGTCCCAACAAGTATATTAACAATACATATTCCACGTCCTTCTTTCAATTACTTGGGAGTCAACTTTATCATGCATTATTCACTCATGTGTGAGTTCTATATGAAGTCTACACTTCCAAATCTAGATCATATCTCAATGACTAATAAATTCATGGAAGTATAAAAAACAGCACATTGACCAAGTATTATTCATTTGGCGACATGGAATAGGGGTAAGAAAAATTAAAGTATAGAAGGAAAGAAGAAAGAAATGGGCTAACCATCAGCAAAAAATTTGCAAAGAAACACTTGCCTTTTCCTTCTCAAGAATATCAGCTGAGGCATCAGGGGGAACAAGTGGCCACACTGCAGGCTTGGGCCAGGGGAGCATGCTTAACGATGCACTGAGCAAATAAAATAGAAAATCATTAGATTAGTAAAAAATAATACGGTTCAGGAATGCGATTCCAAACAATTTTGACAGAAAAATTGCAGGTGAAGATTCATATAAGGTTTAAATTATTACCTGTTTACTGGGCTTCTTTCCATTTCCACTCCATAACCAATCAAATATGCAAGCCTCATAAACTGCCAAAACATTAGATAAGACAAGGTCACAAGAGGGTTTTCATGAGATTCGCAAATCGAAAAAAAATTCTTGCAAGTTAAAAAGCATACTATGTTGTGAATTATGAAGAAACTCCTTGGATGGAGGGAATGAACAGAAAAAACTAAAAGGAACTACAAAAGCAAAAATTAAATATCCAGGAGTTCAAAAATATAAATTTCTATTCGTGGCTGTTTATGTGAAATAATCTTTCTGAAGCCATTTAAGTTAAAAATTTTAAAATACAAGGAATGAGGTAAAAAAAATAAGGAATTCGACCGCGCCCCAAAACATAAAGCCAACATCCAGCAATTTTCTAGAGACGCTAATCTATCATTTTGTGAAAAAATATCTCCAAAGATTCATGCAGACTCCTAGTTTACAACCAAAGTTATCTTATAAAACCGTTAAAAATTAAATTAAGATGATGGCAACGCATATTTCATTTGCCCAGCCAGAACTTGAAAAAAACATGATACTTCTATCAAAAATTGACAATACTTGAAAAGATTAACTTGAAAAAATTTCTCCAAAGATTCAGGCAGTCACCTATGTTAACAAACAAGTAATTTTTGTTTCATTACATATCAATGACTCTTTAAGATAACTCATAGATGCCTATGATAGTTATGGTTACAAGAGTTGAGCTGATGGTGGCTGATTGCAACTAGACTTCTGTTTGAGTAACTATATTTCTATTTCTGTGGTTTTCAACAATGCCTATGATGTTATGCGACAAGAGAGACTTCTGATTGAGTAACTATATTTCTATTTCTGTGGTTTTCAACTTTTAATTCTGTATTAAGATTTCCATGGAGGCTTTTTGTCGACCCTGGTTCCTCGTTTTATTCCATGCCATTAATTCTGTGTTCGGCTTCATCCCTTGAAAATTCAGCACTCATTGCCTCTATCATGAGATGCAACCACACATGCGCCTATTATGATATTTTAGATTCACAAATACAAAATTTATAGTAGTAAAAAATGCAAAATGCCTCTTTTATTTTTGTAAGGAATTTCAATTTTTATGTTTTATTATTATTTTTATATTTTATTATTTTATTTTGAATAAAGCATACCAATGATGTTTCCTAAAAAGAGTTGTTCTCTTGATGTTTGATTGCAGCTAGTTAATATTTGAGCAGCTGGATTTCCATTGCTGTGTTTGCCAACCTTCAATTCTTTATAATGATTTCCTTGGATTGTTTTTGCCATCATTAGGTCTCAGCTCTATTCAGTTGAATTAATTCTTTGATCAGTGAATTCCCTTGTGACCTTAGAAAATCATTGCTTCTATTATAAAATAAGGTTGATGTTTTTACAAGCTAACAGAAGCGAAGCACGTGACACCCACTCCACTTAGCTGAAACACACTTCGAAGCGCTGAAGTAAATTTGTAGATTGTTCTTACATTTTTAAAGTTCTTAATTATTGTAACAGAATATCGAAAATTGTTCGAAATTTTAATTCACAGGTTCACCCTCAATGTTTGTCATCAAGTTAGGTATTGTATCACATTCTTTTTAGTTTTCTATCAGTTTTCAAGTAATGCTTTATAATTTATAACTGTTAATCAATATATTTATACATTAATAGCTTTGTATAACTTATTAGAGCTTTGGTTAATAAAAGTGCCGCTTCATTATGAGCTTTGCATTTTGAAGTAAAAATAATAAGGTTATCATTAGTTGTTATGTGCTTTATTACAATTTTCTGGTTTCAAAAAAAGGATGATGGCATGTCTTCTATTTGGTTATTACAAATTTAGGGAAACTGCATGATGTAATATGTAAATCTAAGGCATGTATAAAATACTATACTTTGATTTTACTTGAATTCAACAAATTTCTAGTTGGATGAAATTCCTTCTACTTTTTTCCTACTTTAAGTAGAGATTAATGATTTTTCAAGAGAAATTGTCTCTTGTACAAGAATGAGACTTGATTTTGCTATTTTTTCTAGCAAACAGTCTGCACGCGTGTTGGAGTTTTTTGGCTCTGGTACAATCTGAGTTTCGAATGCCACATAATTTTCAATTGAATATAAGGTTTTCATGCTGCTTGCTGATATTTGTATCTAATATAAGGCCATATTTGCAAATAGAAAAAGTTTAGTTATTTATTTGTAAATGTTGTAAGGCTCTATATAAACCCAAGAGTGTTAATGAAATGGGTGGGTTTTATAGAGTAATTATTTTTTTATGGAATTAGAGCTTAAACCCTAGCCATTGCTACAATGCACTGTGAGTGGGTTACGGCTTGCCAGATCGAGCGTAGGTGAAGTGACACTGTGCAAGGCTTACCAGTTCGAGTGTAGAGGAATGACATGATGTGAGGCGATGCAGAAGAAGGCAGCTTGCAACAGAAACCGAAGAACAGTGGAGTAGCAATGAAGCAGCAGCTCTGTGGCGAGGTTTCAGACGTAAGGATCCTACGGTTCTGCGTGTGGAATTGATCGCAGGAGGAAATTGGCCCTATGGCGAGGCTTTAGACGCAAGAGTACATGCAGTTTTACGTGTAGGATTGATCGCGGTGTTGACCTCATTTTAAAGTCATTTCTCCTCTCCTTAGATCTTAGGATCTAGCTCTACGGCTTCTTATTGATTATCTTAGAGGACTAGAGTTGGACCTACCTCTTTAGAAATTCGAACCACTTCCCGATTCTCTTGTGGTGTCTCGCCTGGATGGTCTCAAACCATCATCATTTGGTCGAGTGGTTAAGGACCATCATGTGGAGGCCCAAAGAGAGATCCCATAGGGTTTAGGACACCCATAATGACTTTAATGCATTCGCACACACAAATACCACAATTCGCATTACCTACACCTGTAAAAACTTCACAATTAATCTAAACATAAGTTAATTTTTGAAATAACTGATAAAGAACCCAAAATTTGAAGAAAAATCGAATTTGACGCATTTATGACCCGATCGTCAACGAGGTTCTCCGGACGACATCAGAGGACGAAAAGAACTGCGCCGGCGAATCCAGAACGTCAATTTTACCTAAGAATAACACTCATATTGTTATAATTCCACAAACGAACAATTTGCATGAAAATCGATGAACTTATTCGAGCGATTTCGGATGACAAAATGGACGGCGCAGGTGCGTCCGGAACATCGATTTTACTCAGAAAAGACACCTATATTGCTTGAGTTCCTTGCACGTAAGAAATGCGCGAATTCTTATTTGAATTTGGCACGATTATCGAAAAAATAGTCAAACAACCTTAGATAATGAAACAGACTGCACTGACACGTCCGGAGCGTCAATTTTACCCATGAATGATACTCATTTTGCTAGGGTTCCGAGCACAAATAAATCACACACTAATTAATATAAATAATTTAATATAATAAAACAAAAAAAAATAAAAAATAAAAAAGAAAATCCTACTTAATCCCTACTCACGCACGCAGACTCGTAGCTTTTGCGCTGCTCTCCCGCTCGTGATTCTTCACGTCCGAGCCTGATTCTTCCTCTCCAGTGATCGACCGCACTCGGACTTGACCTAGCTCAGGAGCCTGCTCACGCGACTCTTCCTCTTCTTCGCAGGCCGCTCGACCGAGCAGCTCTCCGACGGTGAAACTCCACCTGGCCGACTATTCCTTTCCTCTAGGCCGCCTGTTCTTTCTCCCTAAATGCTCCTCCTCCTCTCCCATCATCCCATTCGACCACCTTGGGGCTGGTAGGTGGTGGTTTATTCCTTCCTTGCCTATAAAAAACCTCATCTGGGGAGGTCTTTAGGGTTGGCCGAAATTTCTGGAGAGAGGGAGGTGTCCATTTTTTTTTCTTTGGTTGGTTCATCTTGTGTGTGTGCTTGAAATATTTTGGACTTCTGTTTTCTCTTGGGTAAAGCCTGAGAGATGAGAAGAGGTTGAAAATTTGGGAGGAGAAGAGAGGAGAAAGAGTTGTCGCATCTTTGGGTTGGTGATTCATTAATGTGATTTGGAAATTTTGTTATTGCTTCCGGGGTTTTCTTTAAATTTTCTAAAAGCATTTGGAGGTAAAAACTTCTTCTCTTCACCTTCAATAGATTGAAAATAAGGATTCATTCTTCTTCTCCTTTCTTTATTTGATTTATGGAACAGTTCTTTCAGTAAGTTCTCTTCATTTTGATTTAATCATGAGGAACTTCTTTGCGTAAATACTACCTTTAGCCATTGTGAATTACGAATGGATTTTAAGCTTTATTTTAGCCGGTGGATTCATCATTTTCTACTACAGTTTTACATCTGACTTATTCTTCAAATGGGTAGAATGAAATCAATTCTTTATGGATTAGTTTGATGTGGCTTACTGTTTACTTTAACCAGTATAATGTTTGAAAAGGATTTCTTCATTCCAAAACTATTTTGAGATGATCGTGATAATTATTCAGACAGAGAATTCTTCGTAAGCTATTTCTATACCAATTTAAGAAGGATTCGTATCCTTATTTTGCTAGCCGCTTTGAAAAAAGGTTTTCTTTGTGGTTCACGATTTCATTCTTGATAACAGTGACATTAATGGCAGAAATGTACTTGTATTTGTCAAATTCAATATCAATTATTGAGGTTGGGTCACTAGCTGAATATCACGGTTGGTTGTTGCATGTGGTTCGCTAACAAAATAGCATTATCACTCACTGAATTCAGTTTATTTGTTGAATTCCATGTTATTGGCCGAAATTTCTGGAGTGGGGAAGGAAATGCGTGAGAGTAAGAGCATGCTTTATAAATCAATGGAAAAGCTACAGCTTGATCTAGCCGAGATAAGATAACTTTGATCTTTATAGGTGTGGTATACTCAAATAAAATGTTCATGCAAAAATCTGAAAGTCTTTATTTATTGGGAATACAAATCATATATACTGATGTTACTTTATTTCTTAATTTCTAGTACCTAGTTCATTCTAAATGCAAAAACGTGCTTATAATGTTGATCCCATTGAGAATGGTTTGTGCTCTATTGTGTTTTATCATTTTGTTGGTTTTC